GGTTCGTCAGCATCTTCCCAAACATGTATTTGGCAAGAATCTAAAGGCCACCTCTTGTGTAATTGGTGGAGTCTTGGAAAAGGATCCTCTGCCTTTCTTTTCAGGATGTGCGCAACCATGCAGGATTTTGTGCTCAGAATCTGTGCCTCCTGCCTCCCGACTGACGTGCTCATGAGGAAGTTGGTTTCTGTGCCCGTCACCTGGAAGGATGCTAACAGTGCACTGTGATCTGTTGGGGGATCTGGAGAGGGCTGTCCAGAGCAGCATTTTGTTCCCTGCCGTCTTCATAAATTAGTGCTGTTGGGGTGGGGTAGGTTGCAGTGTGTGAGGAAATGCAGGCATTTTGTTCATTAGCGAAGTACTTCTAGCTTTAAGAGTAGCTGCAACTAAAGAGAGCTTGGGAAGAGGTGGTGGAGAATGCCGGATGCCCTGAAATACTCTTCATCTAGGTAAGTAAGAAGTAGGGAAATGACAAGAGTGTTCATGGATGTAATGGCTCCAGGAAAACCCGGGTGATTTTCTGTTTTATTTGCTCTTGCCAACCATGTGGAGCCTTTCTAAGGAAAGAGAAAGTGCTTATTGGTTTTGAAATACAGGAGGAGTTAAAAAGTGAGCAATATTCAAGAAAATTTTTCAATTTTTAGGTTTGCCAAAAACCAGCTCTGCATTGTGCTAATTATGTGATTCATTGGGTTACATCTCAAACTCCTGGTCAGCACAGTGGTTCACAGTGTTCTGCATTATTGTAGGTCACTGAAGCCAAAGTCTGTACTTGGGGTAGGAGCCCTGGATGTCCTAGAACAAGCTGTGCCCCTCCCCCTACATCTGTGAATCAGTTCAACTAAGCCGAAGTCTTAATAGTCTTAAAAATCTAAATGATAAATTTTATTCAGTGCTTTAACTTTCTTCCATTCTTTCAAACATGCTATATTAAAATATCTATCATGGAACTGTAAATTGCAGTCCATCGTTGAGTCTCTTAATTTCATGTGTCTGATTTTGGTAATTGTATATTTATTTCTAGATGTATTTATCAAATGATAATTTAAATTGTCCTTCTTCCTTCTAGAGAAAGCATGGGATTATGGCAATCACAGAGTTTCAGTAGCACGAGTGCCCTTCTGTTTTTTCTGAGAGTCGTCTGTTAAAGTGAAGCAAGGGAACTATTGTGGATTACAATGTTTTGAAGCTCTAGATTTCCAGTGGATTGAAAATAAGGAATCATTTAACCTTTTAAATGAAAAAGATTAAGTTCTCATGTGACTGTTGTATTTTCTCAAAGCCATTCTCCAAGAGGGAAGTGCACATTTAAGACATAGAAAATGATGGTCCTTTCTGCGGGGATTTAAGTCTAATTGCTTTTACATCATGACCAGCTTGAAACGGTCACAGACAGAAAGGCCCGTTGCCACTGACAGGGCCTCCATTGTTGGCACAGATGGCACCCCCAAAGTCCACACCGATGACTTCTACATGCGGCGCTTCCGGTCCCAAAATGGCAGCTTAGGATCATCAGTAATGGCTCCAGTAGGGCCCCCTCGAAGTGAAGGTTCTCACCATATCACCTCAACCCCTGGAGTTCCAAAGATGGGGGTTAGGGCAAGGATCGCAGATTGGCCTCCAAGAAAGGAAAATATAAAAGAATCTAGCCGTTCAAGCCAGGAAATAGAAACCTCAAGTTGCCTTGAGAGCATGTCCTCCAAAAGCAGTCCTGTGAGTCAGGGAAGTTCTGTTAGCCTCAATTCCAATGACTCAGCCATGCTGAAAAGCATACAGAACACGCTGAAAAGCAAGACCAGACCGTCGGAGAACATGGACTCCAGATTTCTCATGCCTGAAGCCTATCCCAGCTCCCCTCGGAAAGCTCTCCGCAGAATCCGGCAGCGGAGCAACAGCGACATCACCATAAGTGAACTTGATGTGGATAGCTTTGATGAATGTATCTCACCCACATACAAGAGTGGACCCTCACTGCACAGGGAATATGGCAGCACATCTTCCATTGATAAGCAGGGAACGTCCGGAGACAGCTTTTTTGATTTGTTAAAGGGCTACAAAGATGACAAATCTGATCGAGGTCCAACTCCAACCAAGCTCAGTGACTTTCTCATTGCTGGTGGGGGCAAGGGTTCCGGTTTCTCTTTGGATGTTATAGACGGGCCCATCTCACAGAGAGAGAACCTCAGGCTTTTTAAGGAAAGGGAAAAACCACTCAAGCGGCGCTCGAAGTCTGAAACTGGAGACTCATCCATCTTTCGTAAATTACGCAATGCCAAAGGTGAAGAACTCGGGAAATCGTCTGATCTAGAAGATAACCGATCAGAAGACTCTGTCAGGCCCTGGACATGTCCAAAGTGCTTTGCCCACTACGATGTCCAGAGTATACTGTTTGATTTGAATGAGGCGATTATGAACAGGCACAATGTTATTAAGAGGAGAAACACCACCACGGGAGCCTCGGCAGCTGCCGTGGCATCCCTGGTCTCTGGACCTCTGTCCCATTCAGCCAGCTTCAGCTCCCCCATGGGCAGCACAGAGGACCTGAATTCCAAAGGGAGTCTCAGCATGGACCAGGGAGATGACAAAAGCAACGAACTGGTAATGAGCTGTCCATACTTTCGGAATGAGATAGGTGGAGAAGGTGAAAGAAAAATCAGCCTGTCAAAGTCTAACTCTGGCTCCTTTAGTGGATGTGAAAGTGCCTCCTTCGAATCTACTCTTAGCTCCCATTGCACAAACGCAGGAGTGGCAGTACTTGAAGTGCCCAAGGAAAACTTGGTGTTGCATTTAGATAGAGTGAAAAGATACATCGTGGAACACGTGGATTTGGGCGCATACTATTATAGAAAGTTTTTCTACCAGAAGGGTGAGTAGAGAAAGAGTTTCTTTTGCTGTGTTTTTTTGGAAACAGTAGTGAACTGGTATGTTGTTTATATTAAGGTTTTTGTTTGTTTGTTTGTTTTTTTAAACAGTGTGGCATAGTATCTGCATGAATTCCTTTATAAGCTCTTCCTTAGTGGTAACATAATGAAATACCTACTTGCTGCAGTTTCTTTTGCATTTTTAAAAATTACTTTCCCCTTTCAGATATACTGGTATCTTATATAGTCAATATTAAATGTTTAAAAAATTTTAAAAGCCCTTGATTTAGTGGATGAAGTTATAGACCTTGTTGTATAGGAGAGTTACTATGTCCCCTTTAAGAATAAGTGTTTAAGGTTGAAAATATTTCAAATAAAGCTTTTTAAAAAGATTACAGAAATAATTTTTAATGCAACCCTTCATTTCTTAGCACTACTGCAGTTAGTGCAGTTAGCCTCCCTGTACTCATCAGTAATTGGCAAGTATTACCTCCTCCCGCCCATCTCAGGGATTTTCATGACCAAAGCCACAGAGCCAATAGTCTCAGAGCCAAGAATCAAATCTAGGTCTTCCATTTGAGTAGAAAAGGCATCGGAATTCCCTTCGTATGTTGGCAATTTCCTCTCTAGTTGTTGTTTCTTTTTGGGAAGTTTAAAGTGTGTGTGTATGTGTGTGAGAGAGAGTGATTATGCTTTGTACAGAGCGTTATCTCATACTTTAATCAAAGGCATTGTGATTTATTGAAAAGCAAATATGAACTTGAAACTTTCTGATAGTATTTTTAAGCATCATTGTCAATCGAGGGATGAGTTTAAGTCATCCCTGGTCCCAGGCTGGAAAACAGGATGGTCACCGTGAAAGGACTCACACCTGTGGTCCATTAGCCAGAACAGTAATCTCTGCATCCTGGTGAAGAAGCCTGTGGCCAGAGGCTCCCTGTCTGCAAATTACTCCCACGTTGATTTCACTGCCCACCTACTGTTTGCAGGTTTTGAATATTATTTTGTTTTATTCTCCTTAAAGGAATTTAGTTTCAAATCTAGTTCTCATTACAGCATTATGACATTGTATTAGAATAAAACTTATTTTAGGGTTGTTACATAATGAGAATCCCATTTAAGAAAGTTTATTGATAGAATCTCATCTCATTACTAAATATCCATGTCTCGTTTCATTATCAATATGATAATGAAACTCTCGTTTTCATTTTTTAAATAAATTTCTTTCCTCGGAATAATTTTCTGGAGTTCAGATTTTAGAAATCACATTTTCTGGAGTTCAGATTTTAGAAATCACATCTTTCTTACACTGTTCTTTAGAGTGTAGGGCTTTTCAACCTTGCCATCTTGGCATTTGGGACAGAATAATATTTTGTTGTGGCATGGGGGCTGTCCTATACATTTCATAGCCTCTACACCCTAGATGCCAGTAGGGTCTCCCCTCCCTCAGTTGTGACAGTTTAAAATGTGTGCAAGCATTGCCAAGTGTACCTTAGGAGGTAAAATTAGCCCTAGCTAAGGCTTTACTGTACCTGGGGCAGTTTTCCGCAGGTGTCTCTGAGCTGAGTTGAACATGACAGAGAACATTATTAATTATCTTGTTTATAGAGTGGTGGGTACTTTTTTCCTATGTGGCAATATAATATTTGTTTTGAGAGAGATTTTTGCAATAGGGCATATGTGCTTACCAGAGAGCAGAGATAGACAGAAAGTGAGAGATCACCCCACAAAGGCTTTGGCCACATCACAATCCCTTCTCCTCCATTCCCTTTTTGGGGTTTTGGGCATGCATGCACACATGCCTGGCATAAATTTGAAGCCACCGTGGTCTGGGACTCAAACCACAGTTGGCCATGTGGGAGCCCAGCAACGTAACCATTACACCATCTGCTGGTCCCGTGGTAATATATTAATAGTGAACAGTTTTTGAGCACTTATGTGTCAGACACTGTGCTAAGCATTTTCTCATTTTAACCTGTTGATGCCTGTGCGATGTAGGTATTGTTTAATCCCATTTTCCAGATAAGATAACTGAAGCTTACATGCTTACATAGGATGCTGTCATGAAGCTAGTAAATGCTGGAGCCAGGATTCCAGCTCTGGCCTGTCTGAAAAGAGTCATGGTGTGGGACCAGCAGTTGGCGTAATGGCTGTGTTGCTTGACTCCCATGTAGTTGACCACAGTTTGAGTCCTGGACCCGGTGGCTTAAACTCACGCCGGGTATGTGTGTGTGCGTGCCCAAGATCCTGAGAGGAGAAAGGAGAAGGAATTGCGGTATGGCCATCCCCCCAGAGATATCTCTTTCTGGCGAGTGCACGTGCCCTATAGCAAAAACCTCTCCCCCCCCCAAAAAAAA